TCCTTCGCCCTGATATTCCCTTTTAGGGAATATCCTGATATCATCATCACGCCCTGATATCACCATCACGTCCTGAAATTCCCATTACTGACATTGCATCATTGCGTTGAAGCTCCCTGTTACGCTGCGTTTGATATGAGAAAAGGGCGGCGTTCAAATGCCGCAGAAGAAGACGAAGCCGAAGCCACTGCTGAAACACGGGGCCTCGATATTTTAAAAGCAGAACATATCACAGAGCTGACTTCAGTACGACGCATATGACTGCATTCAGAATATTCGTGCGCGGCTCCCACACGGGTGTAGGTGTGAGGCCGCATTCAGACGAGCGCGACAGGCTTCATGAAAAACAAACGATGTTGAACAATCGCCATCAGAGACGCGCAATGGAGCGTATCAATTACTCCCGTTGTTCTTTGAGGGTACTGACCTGCGTAAGGGACACCAGCGTGTTGGTGATGCTGGTGCCGATGTTGGCGCCCATGATCATGGGTACGCAGGTCCGCACCTTCAGCACTGCAGGCACAAAGGTCAGACGGGTCAGGTCACCGACACGGGGGGGAGGAGAGAGTCCAGCAGCGATCGACTACCGTTGCAAGCTCGCAAATTTGGTTACCCTAGACCTTCTTATCTACAAAATGTGAACTCGCACATCTGTTCGTCGTTTCCCTTGCTTTCTTCTGCCATTCGTTTCGATGCAGGCATATTACCGAAATATCAACGCACCTATATCTCCATTCTCCTGGCTTTTCTCCGAAGAATAAGACTTTTACTCCTATCTTGTCAACGTGCATAATGTTCCTCGCAAATGCACTTGAAAACTAATCCTTACTGTGTTGCGACTTCCTTTCAAATGAGAGAGCTGCCAACCGAGCACGGAAGCGTAAGTTTTGACTGGCGCCATCACGTGATCCGATGATTCTGGGGAGCATCTAGGTTCTCGCGGTCCGAGCATCAGCTGACGCCAGCTGACGTCACTGGGGCCGAGGTGGGACTCACGTCCGGACGCCACCATGGAGACGATGATGGAGGTGGAGGTGGAGCTGCTCTGGACCAGCACCGTCACCAGGCAGCCCATCATCAGGCCCACTACCGGGTTCGCCAGCATCTCGTCCTTGGCGAACACCTGACCTGGCGACGACACATACGCGGGTGGTGAGGTCACTGGGGTCGTTTGGTCAACACCTGACCTGGCGACTTACACGTAGGCGATGACGTCGCTGGGATTCATGTGTAGCAAACTTAGGTCAGCACTCTTGCATACATGAAGTCACGTCACTGGGCTCCGACGCCTGACGGGGCAGCAAACTTACCTACTGACGTCACGTCACACCTGACGGGGCAGCAAACTTGCCTACTGACGTCACGTCAGCTCAAACTGATAACCTAGCGACTCAAACACTGTGACGTCACGGTATCTTATCTGACGACAATACGCCGCGCGGCTCTCCAGGATGACGATCTGGCGACAGACAGTCCGATAGCGCCCCCGCGCGCGTCGGGGTGGGCGTATCTGTTCACAGGAGCTGCGATCGCGCGAACGCCCCCGCCGCGACGTTCCAAGGCTCAAGGTCACGACGGGGTGAGCTCCGTCACTCAGCGACCTCGCCCGAGAGGTGAACGGGATCGGTCCCTGCCACCGGCCTGTGGGTCGGACGAGACTGGGCGAACTCGGCCGCGTCCCCCAGGCTCCATCCCACGGCAGTACGATGTCGGCCACCGACCCGCGCTGTTGGACGCCTCAGCCCATGCATGGACTGAGCTCTATGTCACTTGCTCTTGACCTGAATTTGGCCGCAGATCACTTCGCCGCGAGTCTGAGCTTGTGCCCGCGAACTCACTAATTTTCTGTCTGAATCTAATTCGCATGCGTTTCTGCTTGAATTTGAGTCCGGTGTACGGTCTCCTGATCGAGCAACGTCAGCAGATAACCAAAAGATAAGCAAAAGGCGCTTTTCGCGGCCGCGCACTGTGGCAATCTTCTGGCTGTTGTCAACTTCACTGACGGGGATCTTGACTCGCGGACATGCTGGGCGATGCTCCACGCTCAGTCGTCGCATGCGAGTAGACGGGACGTTACGGCGAGCGTGTGGTTTCCTGCACGGCGCTCTTATGGGCGGGGCTGGGACAGAGGTAAGTACGTCCCGACCCAGCAGCTCAGCCTCCCATCTTTGTGATCGGATCTCTGAATTAAAATGGGAACACAATTCGACTGCACGTACTTCCCCAATTTCAGCCATGTTTTTTTTTGGGGGGGGGAGAGTGAAACGGGGGAGGGATGGCCTGACAGCCCTCCCTCAGCCTCGCTCGACGATCAGAGAACCCCACCGGGCACGGGCGTCGTCTCAGATCCGGTGACCTGGGGTCACAGGCGCGGGGCGGACTCACTGGCGGTGCGGCCGCCGACGAGTCGGAAGGCCTGTGACAGGAAGTCCAGCGAGCAGATGAACAGGTACAGCAGGCTCAACAGGCACACCAGCTTGGCCACGTTGACGACCACCCGCTGCCGCTTCTCTCCGGGAGACATCGCTGCGGCAGAGCAGGTCACAGGTCAGGTCACTGGGGTCAGGTCACCAGGGGCAGGTCAACGGCCAGGTCACTGAGGTCTGGTCACTGAAGCCACTTCACTGAGGTGACGTCACTGGGATCAGGCCACCGGAGTCAGGTCACTGGGTCCAGGTCAGGTCACTGAGGTCGGGTCACCGTTCAGGTCAGTGAGGTCAGGTCAATGGGGTCAGGCCAGGCCTCTGGGAGTCAGGACACTCGGGTCAGGTCACCGGTCAGGTAAATGGGATCAGGTCACTGGGGTCAGATTATTGAGGTCAGGTCAGGGAAGTGGGGTCATGTCACCGGTTCTTGCCGCCGTCCGTCAGCGAGGGCACAAATGCGGATGGACAGAGCTGGCTGTGTCATACAGTGTTTATAATATGCAACCCAAGGTGTTTATATAATCAATGGCTGAATAAATCAATCGATCAATGTGAAATGAAATGGAATGACTTAATGAATCAATAAAACTGTGTAACTCATTGCCGTGTGACTTCATGCATGCAGAGGTCACCAGCTACTCATGAAAGGTCAGCGTTGTGGGCCACTCGCCAGAGGGAGCCAACGACAAGCGGCAAACAGACGACCAAAGCTCCGGGGTAGGTCAAAGCAGCAAAGGTCAGGGACCAGTCATCCATCGGAGGTTACGAGAATGAGTCAAGCTCCGATATCTGGGCTGCTTGGTAAAGGTCATTGACCCTGATGAAGGTCACGAACCCGGGTCATTCACCCAAACTGGGGCAAGAGCATGTTCGTTGTCCATGGACGACGAGTCAAGGGCTCTATTTGTTTATCACGTATTGGTTGGAAAATACCATGATCACAAAGGTTTGGAGCGAACAATGGGCCAGAGCCGTGATAAAAAACCAGCTGCTGTCTGGTGGTTTTCCGGTCCTGCCTATTCTGTTTTGGACAGTGTAAGGCTGGCTTATCGTCTTGCGGAGAGCACTTCCACTTACAACACGCAGCCATTTTCACATTTTTGTTTCCTCTGTTGAGAGCCGACGTAAATCCCTCGGACGCCCCTCCCCCATCTGGCGGACCCACGATTTGCGACTGAGCGCGCGTGACCGACTGTGCCCACCCAACCACCCACCGTCGTATCAGGACTGTGGTACGCTCTCCTCCTGGCCAAACGGTGTTGGTCTCCCGTGTTCGCAACCACGAATTGCCAAGATAAGAAATTGGGTTTGATCCGTATGCTTCGGCCTTTTCGCAGTTTGACAAAGTACGCTTCCCATGTTACTCAAATGAACGAGGCGAAATGTTTGCAATGCTGCCATGTTGCAGTAAACCCAAGCCTGATTATGCAGCATTGCAGCTCGCATGCAGTTCCCTTGAAGCTTATTGATTGCAGCTGTCACAGGAGTGGGCTAATTGTTGTTGATAATTGCCCGGCGGCACGAACTGTCGCTGCCAAGATGCGAGAACATACAAAGGCCGTCAAAGATATGGGCCGAAAATGAACTGCATGGCTGCAAACACATTTCCCGCCAGAGGCAAACCGCCGGGGCCAATGATTTTGTTTTGTCAACGCTAAAGCGAAATTCGCACCGGAATGAGAGAACACGCGAAGTGCAGAATGCATCTTTTCCATATTCCGTCACAGTGAGGGTCGAAAGCCAGAGGAAATTGTGAAAACTCCCTCATATAAAAAGATGGGAACGGATAGTAAAATCAGACGGAACAAAACTAAAAGCGCTCTGTGCTTTTTATGAACATGAGGTGATTCAACGCATCCTTGGCTTACAGCCTTACAGACTAGCGGTAGATTATAACGTCCTTGAGACAGCACTGCCACACCTATACCCGATGGATCGTGTGACGAAGCAGACACGTTGTTCCCCCCATGGGTGATGATGACTCCGATAGCACGCATTGAACAGTACCGTTACTCCGATAGCACGCATTGAACAGTACCGTTACTTTTGCTAACATTTACCATGGTGCATAATGCTGAGGACCACATCAGGATTGAAAGGCGTTTTATTGACTTAATCACTTATACATATACATATATATATATATATATATATATATATATATATATGTATATATATATATATATATGCGTATATATATATACGGAAATAAGCCTATATATATATATATATATATATATATATATATATATATATATATATATATATATATTGGCTTATTTCTGTTGGCTCTTAAAAATTGATGCCCTTCCATGTTGGGGGTTCTTTGTACTACGAGGATCTCAAATTTTAGGTGATAGACTATGTCTTTTCGTTCCGGGTGCGGACCCCGTTAAGACACATGACCTGCCATCTTTCTCGTCATAATGCTGCTGTTCACACTTCCTTATAGTTGTCTCCTTTGTCACACTTTTTACTCATTCATGACTCCTACGCATCCTGACAAGCACGGATACAGCTCCATGCCTCGTCAGAGTCTCCGCCGGAGCGTCCAATAAAAACACGAGCGCTGTAAATGCAGCTTCATCACCACTGCAGGTGAATCTAATACAATTTCGAGTGTCTCATAATCCGCAACCATTGGTGTAGTCGGGGATAGAGATCAGAAGTCACGTACCCCTCCCCTTAGGTCCTTAAGGGCTCTTTGGGCCTTCGGGACCGATGGCCAAGGGCCGGAAGGGCCGGCCGGAGGTCGTATTAGGGGCCAAGACCTTCAAATGCCAGTCCGAAGGCCTTTTTTACCTGATCGGGAGCTAATTCGACGAGGCTCTCCGTGTTGGTCAGGCACCAAACGTACCGAACAGTTCCTCCGGTGCCGTTCGGGGCCTGGGGATTCACTTCCTCAGCGGGGAAGAGGCTAGGACCCACCACACACATTGGCTGGGGTCCCTGAGCCAATGAGGGCCCGTGTGTCGGCCATAGGGGGCCACGTAAGTCAGGACTTGTCGGACTTGTTGGCCACATAAGCGAGGGCTTACTTTACATTGAATGGAAGTCGCATCGGCTTTTAAAACTCGGAGGGATTCGCTTACGCTTGAAACCATTTGCCAGCTGGCTTAGACGGATTTGCACCGCTCTGCGAAGTTCGTGTTCCACAATTTTTAGGAATCCCGCACGACTGACTACAAATGCTACGCATCATCACACATTGCTCCCTATATCATGCGTTATTCCAATTTCATTATCCCTTTATCCATATCACACTTTCAGCCACCTAGAATCCTCCACCATGCGTCTGCTTCTTATGCACTCGTTACCAGGCTAAATTCCCAAGAAGTATGCGGATATGTGATAAATCAAATAAAGGTTAGAGCTTAGAGACGCTAAGTTAGAACTGCAACGATGGAAAAAATGCACGCAAAAAAGTGAGACATTGAAAGCATTCAGGGGTTCGAAATCACACGCTTCGTGAGAGTCGCTTCGGCTTTGACGGTTCTCACCACCATTTGTCAAATCAAAGCGCCCTATAACTGTCATTGAGTTTCTCTTCATCCTTTATTTCTCCTTTTTTGCCTTGTCCATCTCTGCATCTCCCGTTTCATTTTCTTCTCATTGCTTCCATCACTGTTTCCGCCGTCCCTATTCCCGTCCTCGTCTCCCTCTTTTCCCTTTGGTCTCTCTCTTCTCTCTCTTTCTCCCTCTCTCTTTTTTTCTCTTTCTCGCTCTCTCTCTCTCGCTTTCTCTCTCTCGCCTTCTCTCTCTTTTTCTCTCCCTCTCTCTCATTTTTTCAATCTTCCTCTCTAACAGTCAGAATGCAGAGACAGAGAGAGGGAAGAGGCATGCAATCCCCTCCCTCTCTTCTATTCCTTGCTCTTAACAATGGACAGCAAGGAATGCAACCGAGTGAAGTGACACAACAATATTCGGAGCAGTCAAGGAGGGAAAACGAAGAAGTAACTATGAGACAGACAGAAATGCTGTCATTGCATTACCGGGTGTACTGCATCTCTCGCTGTCTCCATCTCGTTCTTTTTTTCTCTTTCCCCCTTTTCTGTTTTTTACATTCTCTTCATCTCTCTCTCTCTCTCTCTCTCTCTCTCTCTCTCTCTCTCTCTCTCTCTCTCTCTCTCTCTCTCTCTCTCTCTCTCTCTCTCTCTCTCTCTCTCTCTCTCTCTCTCTCTCTCTCTCTCTCTCTCTCCCCCTCTCTTTCCCTCTCTCTCTCTCCATTCTCCCTGTCTTCCCCTCTCTCCCGTGCTCTACCTCTCCACCGCCTCGCCAGCTCACCTGCCCACGGTTTGCCGGCCGGGGCCAGCTCGGGCAGCGCCCACGGGTCGTCCTCCAGCTGCTTCTTCTCCTCCCCCGGCGGCATGTGCACCGTCAGCTCCTGCGGCAGCGTGTGACGTCAGCACGCTCAGGACAACCGACCTCAGCTCTCACGAGCACCGCCAAATCCGTCCACTAGCGTCATCGCCCATTGCAATGGTGGTTGCAATAGCTGGAATATAGTGAGCAGCAACATAGATAACACACAGCAACACGCAGCCTTCGACATGGCACAAGCCTTCCAAAAGCGAGGACTTGGTGCCCATAAAATGACAGTGAGACATTCATCCGAACAGAAAACAAGTTAGAGCAGAGCTAAAAAGCGCGGGAGTCGGGTGAAAAATGGAACATCGCATACTGAACATGGCCGTGTCAATACAGTTACTACAAAGCCCAGCCAAAATGAAGCAAGAGGTGAAATGGGGATGATGACGAAAACTCCCAGAATGATGATGCTCTTCACCGATTCCCTGCATCACCGGCATCACAACTACCCCGTTTATCCGGATCCCCCACCGGAGGACTGGGTGCAGCCCCTTGTTTTGCTGTCGGCGCCCCCCCCCCCCTCCCACACACACACTTATGGGGTGTTGGCCACACCTACACTGGCAGAGCTGCTGAACAGAGGCTAGCTAGACAGGAAGAGCATCACTGGAAACCTTCACTCCTCAATGAGTTCTGTACTCTGACATTACAACCGATGTAATTCCTCCACCCTCGCAATAGATGGCTCTATGATACCGGATGGCTCTTTTATTACTTTAACCTTTAATGCCTACTGGATGGTGTTATCTATTCCCGTATACAATACGATTTCTACGATGTGACTATTAGGCAACACACCGCGTGCGGGCGGCGGAGGCAGCGGGGTGTGGGCGGCAGGGCCAGCGGGGTGCGGGCGGCGGAGCCAGCGGGGTGCGGGCGGCGGGGACAGCGGGGTGTGGGCGGCTGCCCCCGGACCGGTGAGGGGTGCCGGCCGCGTGCGGACGGCGGAGCCAGCGGGATGCGGACGGCAGAGCCAGCGGGGTGCGGGCGGCAGGGCTAGCGGGGTGCGGGCGGCGGAGCCAGCGGGTGCGGGGCGGGCCAGGGGGGTGCGGGCGGCGGGGACAGCGGGGTGCGGGCGGCGGAGAGCGGGATGGGAGGCAGGCCAGGGGGTGCGGGCGGGGGGCACTCGGGAGCCGGGGCAGGGCTGGCGGGCAGCGGGGTGCGGGCGGCGGGGACAGCGGGGTGCGGGCGGCGGAGCCAGCGGGGTGCGGGCGGCGGGGACAGCGGGGTGCGGGCGGCTGCCCTCGGAGCGCACCGGCTGCCCCCGGACCGGTGATGGGATCCGGCGCGAGAAAGGTCACGCCCCGTATCAGCCGGACATGCCCCGTATCCATCACAACTGGGACGCCGGGGCACAGAGCCTTTAAACGCGTGATATATATATATATATATATATATATATATATATATATATATATATATATATATTTGAGGGTGTGTGTGTGTGTGTGTGTCCGTGTAAGTATTTATAGCCTCTTTTTCTTTCTTTCCTCCTTTCTTCTCTCTTCTCTTTCTCCCTCTCTCTCTCTCTCTCTCTCCCTCCTCTCTCTCTCTCTCTCTCTCTCTCTCTCTCTCTCTCTCTCTCTCTCTCTCTCTCTCTCTCTCTCTCTCTCTCTCTCTCTCTCTCTCCCTCGCAATAGACGCCTGCTGCTGCTGCAGCAGCTGGCACGGCCCAGGCGCTGGGGACGCGGAGTTGGTCAGCCAGGGACGCAGCCCAAGAGCTGGGGACGCGAGGTTGGTCAGCCAGGGACGCAGCCCAAGAGCTGGGGACGCGGGGCTGGTCAGCTAGGGTCGCAGTCCAGGCGCTAGGGACGCTGGCTAGCTCCGCAAAAAGCGTTATCTACACCCGCGTAAGTCAGGTAGCGATGAATTTAACGCACGAGCGTCGCATGGTTCTCAAATTTAACACACAAGCGTCACATGGTTCTTAAATTGCGAGAGACGCAGGCATGTCAAGGAATATGAACGTATATCTCCCACTTGGAATTAGCCGGACAACATGGGACGAATCTGGCGCGCCACCTGAGCTACGTGCGCGTGAATGCCTCCGGTCCTCTGCCAGATTAATTCATGAGGTGTTCTATGTGTCGCGCTTCGGACTTTTACGAGGCCAGGACCTTGTCGGGACGGGAGTCGGTGCCACCGTACCCGCTCCCACATCTCGTAATCGGCCGCCGCACGCCCGTCACGTACCAGATCAGCCTTCCGTTCGCCGCCGCACGCCGAGGAACTTCCTGCTTTTGAGGATACACAGGCTACGATTACAATTTCAAACTGCCACATAGCGAACAACTAGATGTAAAATTCAGCGCATCAAACAAAATGAATACGGTGAATGAGAAAGGGAATTTGAGCCAGGAATGAAATGAATGCAAGAAACTAAGCAGGACATTTGATTTCGGTGTGTTGTGGTTGGCTGACACTTGCGCAGGTCACGCTGGAGGTGCAACGGGCCACATTGGGCCACAACGGGCCACAAAGGTGCAACGCGCCACATTGGCGGCAGCTGCGCCGAGCCGCAGGGGGAAGCGCCTCGCCAGAGCGCCGGTTTCGTCACGGCACGCGCGGTTGTCACCGAGAGGGACGGCTTCGGACGGAGGCGCGCGCGACCGTGACCCCGACCGTGACCCTGACCGGGACCCTGACAGTAGCACACATCTGGGCCACCAGAAGCTCACGAGGGACGTCCAGTTGCCAAGCTTATCGTGATTTCATATTGCGCAGGCTGTCAGCACAGCACCGCTGGGAAATAACGCATGGTGGATGTGGCAGCTGCACACCAACGCTCACCAAAATTTAGCCTCGGGCTGTTGCAGCTATGCCGCACCACCTTTCTCGCCGCTTTCCGCCGGTAAGCACGGACATGGCTGGGAAAACTTCACTGCGGGGGTGAAGCCGCTGAAGATTGGGCAGCACAATCAGCAGGTTCCCGTGCGATTTCAGAACAAAAATGATCAACCGCTCGGATGACTCCACAAGACGACCGGGTCTCCGGCCCGCAGTCTCAGTACGTAACACTGATCGCACGCCTGCATGACGTCATACGACCAGTACGTAACACTGATCGCACGCCTGCATGACGTCATACGAAGGCGTGAGGGGAGCGGACACGCCCGCAAGGGATGGCGCACGTCACCAAGGGGGGGGGGGACACATGAGACCAGGGAAGAGGATGTCAGTGACCGTGACCGACATTTTTCCTGTACACGTCAAAGCTGGTCAGAGCGCGCGGCCACGTTGTTAAGTAACAGCTGTGGCAAGCGGATACGGCGATCCCGTGAACGGGCCCAGGTCGTCGTAAGCTAATCAAGCTAGTGTCGGATGACAGATCAAGCTAGACAGATGCCTGGCTTACGTCACTGGGTTCAGTTTGGGACGTAATTTCAGGCGTGTAACGGCAACACTCCGCCAACGCAGGGCATGTCTCTTGGCCACATGTAATAAGTGACTCCATAGTGATTTCCTTGTGGGCACAGCTGACTCCGGTGGCGGTAGGACTAGAACACGGGCCTATATTACAGCTATCTCACAGATGTGTCGCTACTTTTCAATGGTGGTTCTCAAGCTTACGGAACCCGTAATTGTGATGAATCGAAAAGCATAGATGATCCAGAATGCAATAACAGATCCAGAGCAGCGCAACATTGGGACTTTCTGCGATGTTGTCGAGGGCTTCGCAATATCGGTTGCCCATGAAAATACAACGTTTCAGCTGGGAGCATGTTACGTCCGCAAGTTGCGGAGAATCAAAATCCCAAGCAGCCTTCGTCTTTTTGCGCCAGTTTCCGCTTATTTCCTGCTTGAGGTAGCTCATCTTTCGCGACTCAAGTGATCTGGAAGTTTGTGAATATTTCATTTTTCATTAGATGCGCGTAACAATCCAAGGGATCTGTTACACGTTCAGTATCAATCGACCGCTTGCCATGGTGATGACGACGGACATACCGGCGTTGAAATGGCCAGCCGAATGTCATGAAGATTTGCTTAAATTCGGAGGAGAAACACATTTTGGGAGCCGATTACGTCTGGCATGATGTGGGCCTCCCGGCGCACCGGCTCACCACGGACCTTCAAACCGCGCAGGCAGTGGGCAACACAAGCGTGTCGCGGTCGCGCTCAGCAAGCATGACCGCCGTCCTCCCAACTACCATGCCCATTGTCAGGCGTTCCTGACTGGCACCTCCCCCTCAGCCAGTTTGTAAGACACGCCGCCTTGTGTCCAGCTCCGTGGACCGCCTCCCCCTCAGCCAGTTTGTAAGACACGCCGCCCTGTGTCCAGCTCCGTGGACCGCCTCCCCCTCAGCCAGTTTGTAAGACACGCCGCCCTGTGTCCAGCTCCGTGGAGCGCCGCACGCGGGGCTCTCCCTGAGGCGGATCGCGATGGAGGCTGGGTATTCCACACCGAGCTCTCTGACGCGCTATCGTAGTTGCGGGCTGGGTCCCCTCGCCGTGCGCCGGCCGGTGAGAACAATGGGGGACCCGAGGTCACCGCGCCAACGTGTGGACCGCGGAAATCATGTGCGCTTGTTGGGAAAGTCACGTTTGCCAAATAGCTGAAGCCTGCCGAGATGTGGTGTGACCCACTTCTCGGGGCCATGTTAGAGGACACACACTCCAGAGATAGACCTTTGAAGGGCATTTGATTGACATATATAACGTAACGCAATGAGCGTAACGAAGCAGCAATAATCTCACTCATGAAATGATGACCCCTTTGTGGAGCGTTGCCAACTTTGCTTTCGAGGTGGTGAAGGTCTTGCTGACGCCGAACTGAGAGTTTTACTTGACAAGATTGCTGCATTTTTGCCATAAGAGAGTGGTACACGATGGTATCTTGATATACCAAAGCTTCTCTTACGTAGCATTAAATTAATTGTACAAGCCCTTTCTCGATCTTCAAGATGTTTAAATTCCTGATATTGAGATTTTACGAACTCGAATGCTCTAATTCCTGATACTCGAACGTAATGTCCTGGCATTTCTGTCTCGCAAGGAGGACGCTCTATCGTCTGAACTGAAGAACGAAGCACATGAATCACGTACAGTATGTGTCCCGGCATCACAGCAGCCTACGAGTAAGAACCACCCGGACCATTGCGTTTGAAAACAATCACGCTTGCCAAACAGACCATCATCTGATCTGTCCGAATGATCGCCGCTGGCAGCCTGGACGTGAATGGCGAGCTGTTTTGTTGTACAGCGTATATGGTCGTCCATGTCCCTGACTTTTGTGCCCAGTTCCCAACTGGGACCTTCCTCATTCAAGGTGTCGGGCAGATCGATTTTCTTTAAAGTATGGATGCTTAGAATACTGGGCTGTGGTCCTGATGAATGTGGCGTGTTTGTTATCGTCAGAGGCTCGTTTTTTACGCTGCTGATACATTTGCATTGTTTCGAGTTTAACACGCCCTCTACGGGGGGCGTGCGGGCCATGCCCCCACTATTACGGCAGGTATTTAGACCTGAGCTGTCACTTAGGGCACTCAGCACCATGAGCCGTTTTCGGAGTCCCAGTGGAGCCGAGCCAAAACGTGCAAAAGCAGCGACATGTCAGCTGTTTTGCACCTGCCGGTGTGTGTGTGGGGGGGGGGGGAGGGAGGACAAAACACTTCTCCTTAGAGTTATACAGTCCTTTTCATCCCAGATAAAGCACAGATAAGGCGATGGAAAACCATTGCGTAGACCTAGGCGATTTGCAGTTCAGCCCATGGATTTTCTGGTGATTTCCGTCCATCTAAGGCCACGCCTGTCTGGCTTGGTGCAAAGGATAAAGGCTTTTGTTCATTGAGATCCAGCTTACTTGGGATACCACCAGCGTATGCTAATGGTAACAACAACAGCAGCAATGATCTGACATCAACGGGTAATTATGCCTTTTGCACAGGACTTCAGCGCTAAGGGTGACCCCACGCTGTCGGGGTAAGGGCCAGGTAGGATTTTTGGATATCATCTCCGGTCACCACCGCACATAGTACCCATGTAAGTTAATGGAAACTCCACGGGGTAGCTGCCACCAACAGACGCGCCGGAACCCGAGCGTGTTTCGACTCAACGAGCGAATACCGGAAATCAGTGATAGATTCGCAAATAATCATTTAGGTTCAGTGATTTGTGTGCATCTATGCCTGTCCACAGCCTTGTGCCCATGTAAATGCTTCACCATTGGTTCGGTGCACCACTCTGCACGCTGTGACACGAACTTTGCACGGCGTTGCGGTTGCTGCCATGTCATACTGCCGTATGCGGCCTCTTGCATGACCCGTATGGGAAATGTCCCATGCGCCACATTGTGTATAACAGTGACTGAATGAATGTTATACCGCTATTGTAATCGGCCGTGGCAAACAATGGACGTGCAGTTTTTGACCGCTTTTGAGTCGGCACGGCATGGAGGTGCGGACCCACGCTGTGAGAGCGGGGACGCGCTGGCCCGGTGCCTGCCTGAAGTCAGCTTCAGTCAGCAGCTCTGCACCAGTACGGTTCTCAGTACGAGCTGCGTGGGGCTATGGCTGAAAGTTGTCAAACTTTGACAGTTGATGTACTGAAGGTTGTTCTTTCAACCATACTTTTTGTTGTGGTGTACATGAATATGAAGAATCGATGGAGATAAGACGTTTCTGACTGATGACGTTACACGATGCGATATGCACAATGGAAGTGAGCTGTAGTTTTCTTCATAAAGCCGGACCACGGACACTCGTTTCAACTGATCGGTCTCACCCGCGAGTCAGACAAGAACTATGATCTTTGATAGAATTGGACCGTTTTAGGCCCTTGAGTTCGTACCTTACGATTTCAAACCGGCGTTCTTCGTCAATAGCGTTTTTCACACAAGCGTTTAGGCGACTGACAACTAACTTAGTCCCGTAGCATTCCACAGGTATCTAACCGTGAAATACACGACACACAGAATGAACACGAGGCTGGACCCATTACTTTCCGTCGTGCATATCAAAACAGTCCGGAAATTGTACCCTGGAAACTTTTTCGTTTCATCATCTCGCACCTATTCGTTGTTTTGCGTTTGCTTTTCTAATCGCATGGGACCAAATCATGCAGTAACGCGAACATAAAATGACAAAAAGGCGGTGAAAATGAAACACAGACGCATCCGGGGTGGCCATTACGTCACTTCGATATCCCTGCCGCCTGCGAGAGGTTTCACTGCTGGCTATGCTAGCCCTGACGCCTGCGAGAGGTTTCACTACTGGCTATGCTAGCCCTGCCGCCTGCGAGAGGTTTCACTACTGGCTATGCTAGCCCTGACGCCTGCGAGAGGTTTCACTTCTGGTTATGTTATTTCTTGGGCCGATTCAATGCCGAATTAACAAATTAGGCTGCCGTCGAATCCCTCTTGCGTGAACAGGGGTATCGGGGATATGCATGGCACTCAGCTGCTGCGGCTATATGGCGTCGCCTGCCTGTCACCCTGGCAGGAAGGACGGACGTGACTCGAAGCGTCGCCTCGTGAAGTCACGCACAAGTCTGGCACACCGGTGGTGCTTAGTTCGATTCCCCGCGGTGCCCACCCTTCCTGCCAGGGTGAGGGGCGGGCGAGCTCGCCCGCTCCACTCACCCGTCGGTCTGCTGGGGATGGCGGGCTCATCTTGCACTCAGCAGCGGCGGCGGAACAGCGGCGGGCAGTGTACGGTCTCGGGCAGCGGCTTGGCTCAGGGGGCGCAGCGAGCACGAGCGGGACGAGCGCGGACGAGCGACTGGCCCCGGAGTGGCCCGCCGGTCCCCTTAGAGGCCGCCGGCGACCCGCCCGCGGCGCGTGACGGACGACCCCTCCCCCTCCCCCCCCCCCCCCTGCTCCCCCGCCGCCGCCCGATGCTCAGCCGGTCGGCAAATCAAGGTCGACAGCGGAAGTGGGGAAGCGAGCGACGGTGGCGCGGTTCCGGGTCAGATACCGCGGCTGAGCCCGCCACACTGCTGACCCCGGTGGGGTCAGGTCAACGGCTGACCTCGGTGAGGGAGGGGCCGGGACAAGGTCTGCTCCGGTGACCCCAGCTGCGGGAGAGGCTGTTGTAAGGCGTGATGCGTGTGTGTGAACGCAGTGACGTCGATTGGCTGGAGGGGGGGGGGGGGGGGGCCGCCTGTGTCGTGGCGCGCTCCGGCGGCGAGGCGATGCCGCTAGGAGTCTGCGAAGCTCGCCTGCGGGGTTTGAGTCCCCGATGCCGTATCACCAAACTACTGAGTGCGTCGTTAACTCCCAGGGACAACACCTGAACCGTGAGAGTACACATTCGCTGGTGCAGCCACTGATGACGTCACTAGTGAGGTCACTGACGAAGCCACTGACGACATCACTGATGACGTCACCGGTGACGTCACCGGGGGGGGGGGGGTCACTGGTGGTGAGCCGAGCCGAGCTGTGTACACTCTGGTCGGGCTAGTGACGCAGAGCCACTGACGACATCACTGATGACGTCACCGGTGACGTCACCGGGGGGTCACTGGTGGTGAGCCGAGCCGAGCTGTGTACACTCGGGTCGGGTTAGTGACGCAGGCTCCTGCGTCCCCGGTCAGCACCAACGCGGTGTCGACACCAGTGAGGTCGGCGCCCGCCACGTGGCGCTCGAGGCCCGACCCAGCTGCTCACTGGCGTCGTGACCCGACCCGAGGAGAGCAGCTGGCACTGGCACTGGCAGTGGCACTGGCACTGACAAACAGCGAGCCAAACGGGGCGCGGGCCGAGCGGCTGAGTGGGCACAGACAGACGCCGTATGCAGCCTGGGACAAACGGGATCATGTCGGAGATCAAAGCTACGAGCATGTACATGACGAAAAGGCATAAAAGCGCTACGAAGCGCTAAGAAGCGCTACGCTGGTGTTCGGCGAAGCGCTGCGCTGGTGTTCGGCGAAGCCCGGTGATCTCCGTCCGACACTGACCCCCACATACGCGCGAACTTGAAGCGTGGTAGAGGGACGTTTTTCAGGTGACATACGCTTATCAACGATTCACCGGTTGGTGCCTGCCCTGTCGTAAGTAACCTTACCGCCTCATGCTCGGTACTGGCAATCGAAACCTTTCAGTTCAGCCGCCTGCGTTCAGGAAAGCCCGTGACACTCTGCGACAATCGTGTGTTGGGATCTGTGCCGGAATGACTTGTGGTTTAATAATCTAATCAGCCTAATCTAATCGGTCATCATTCATCGTGCTCCAGTGCAATGCAGCACACCTCATGGCCTCTAATGCAGCGGTACTTGTGCCGAGGCGAAGGGCGATGTGTGGCTATGGGTCTTCTGATCCGCAGTCGTATGCGAGCCTACTCTAACTGAATTATCCCTTCTTTTCGGTGAGAATGGATGCTCAGTGACTCAGTGACTCAGAGAGGTCCGCTGCTTGTGCCACACGTTCTCGTTTTCACTCCACATCAGGCTCGCAAACGAAGCCGCAGAAAGCTTACCACGTAGAGTGTAGAAAGAGCGTAGAGCGCAGCAAGAAAGTAGACGCCGTAGCAGTACATAAAACAAAACTTCGTGCATGTGACACTACCATTTAGTGTCAACCAGCTGTACAAACAGGCCAAGCGACCGTCCGATCGCAAAGTTTGCACGTCCCTAGAGTAGCGTTTTTTGTATGCCTGGTCACGGTGTCTCTCGTTACGGTGGTGAGATTCAAAAGGGTTTGTAACGATCGCTCTATTCTCTCTTTCCCTTTTTTACAGCAACGGAAGATTATTCTGATCAGCAGATCAAACTGTCAACAACGTCAAAACTGGTTCTAGTTTAGAGTTAATGCAAGTTTGATCGGCGCTAGAGGCCACAGCGCATCCAGCCGGGTGGAGGATCTGTCGCACATGTGCTACTGGACTGAGGAAAAATACAGGGGGGGGGGGAAGATAGCGTGTACCTACTACGTACGTAGAACGTAGTAACGTAGGTTATATCCAGATCTCTTCTTATCTCTACCCTGATTTGTTGTGAACGAGGAACTAAGCGTAGAATTCCCGATCAGTGTCGTGAAGCTTGGAAACACACGTTTAATGGAAGCCTGCACAATACTATGGGACACATAGTAGACTGACAAGCATCAAAGGAGCATAGCGCAGCCCATGCTAGCTTTTAAGTGGTAACTTTGGTAACAGCCGAAGACAATGTGGGCCTCAGAATATCATAATCGCTGCACGTCGTCATCTTCGTCCGAGACTGAAAATACTGACGGCGTTTATGGATCTGGTTTCAATAGCTTTGCTTTTGGTGATGCACATTTATAAAAGTTACTTATTCGTGTGACGAGCACTGACGCCCGCTGGCAAGCTTCTCTCCGTCATCATACTCAGCACAGATAAGCGAAGCGTGCCAGCCTAGCCCGTAATGTTTCGAGCAGCCCTTCGGTCACTACCCTATGTCAGACGACTGGCCAGGCTGGCAGGAGCTTCCAGGGAGTTGGCCTTCATACCGGTCCCAGAAAGCCACTGCCGCGCGCCGAGAACATGCTGCACGCTCCCTGCTAACGCACCGTTCCTTGTCTGGCAATATGTGAATAAATGCTCGCGTATTGACAAAAATTCGGCGGGGGTGGTCTGCTGTAGGTATACACACACACACACACACACACACACACACACACACACACACACACACACACACACACACACACACACACACACACACACACACACACACACACACACACACACATATATATATATATATATATATATATATATATATATATATATATATATATATATATATATATATATATATGACAAAGCGACCATCAAAGTGCATGCATACAAAATTCGCACGGGAAATAGCCGGCGGACAATGCCAGCCTGGGAGCATCGCTTCCGTCTCCAGGAGGTGCTCGGGGCTGCTGCCGGGCGTTAGTTCCGCTTCCTCAACACGACACCTTCCCCGCTCGGTAACCGGAGGACAACGAGTGGTCCCCACGTTAGTTGGGCGGGCACCGCCCCGACGTCCCCTGTTTTCGCTGGCGAAGGTCGCTCGTTAGACATGTCCTGGCCAGCGAATCACTTCGCGCGACATCAGATGTTTGCTACCCATGATATTCGCTATGCTTAGCTGTAGGTGGCTCACATGAGTTTTAACAAAGCGTTATGACAACGCCGCGATTTGGTCACGGTATCGTTTGTTACGATAGTGCCATTCAAAGGGTTTGTAGTGATCGCTACATTCTTCTCTGTTTTTTACAGCAAAGGAAAACCCATTGCGATAAGCAGATCTTTAGCTTTCAAGACCGCCAGGGCCGATCGTCTCGTCGCCTTTCCACGGTGCGATTACGACTCTGTGTCGTAATCTGGTGATTACGACTCTGTGTCGTAACGGTGCAGCATAAACCACCGCTGTAATGTCGGCACCGCTGAAGCATGTTGACCTGCGCGACCTAAGTTAAAGTTATCACAATGCTAACTTATGTTATGTTATGTATGTTATGTTATATATGCTAACGCGCACATTGCAGCGTAGGGAGCAAACTGGTAGCAAAAAGCAAGATAGTGTGCTTATCATATGTTGTACCTTTCACAACGCGGAGCTGGTCCGATCTCTGGGAACTGCTCGCCTCTTCAATGCAGCTTGCAAATTTGTATTTCTAAGATACGTATCATGCATATAATACGATTTGGTGCCACATTTCGAATAATGTACAGCTAACTTGTACGTACAACACCCACCAATCAGGTCAAACAGTCAACATACCACTAAAGAAACAAAGCGCCTTCTTAAGCTTTCTTATCCAATAAGCGGCAAAAACTGGGGCAGTCCGGCAATCCCTGGCACGATCGTACCAGCACACCTCACAGGTCACGTGTCCTGTCACGTGATATCACACGGGAGCTCGGATCCCTCGTACTCCGCTGATTCACGACCGTGTCAGCTGTCAGGCGCTGGCGGCAGCGCCGGTTCATGCCAGGTGGCGCCGGCTTCAAAACGGCACGGCATCACCGCATTGAAACCCATTCGGCCTAGGTTTGCAGAGCTGGAGGCGGTCTGCAAAATCTCCGCACAGTCTCACACAGTCTCCGCACAGTCTCACACAGTCTCACACAGACAGTCTCACACAGTCTCACACAGTCTCACACAGACAGTCTCACACGTCCATTGATCTGCTGACCTGTGATCTGTTCAACCAGGTGTTAGGTATGGCACGGAGACCGGACGAACGAGATTCGATAGCGCTGACCAAAACTTAGTACCGAAAATGATGACAGATAAATCCGTTAGTGCATATTGGGCGACAAACATTCGTTATTCGGTCTCGGAACCCTAGATTCCAACGACATGATCTCAACAAGATGGCATTACCCGCTGCTTAACAAAGGCAGTGTCTTCACATTCTGCAACTTGCAACTTGCAAGCAACTTGCTGGCACCGTCCCAAGCGGGCGCTGGCGCCACGCCACCGGCCGCGCCGCTGAAAGCCTCACGTCAAACACTTCAGTACCAGCATAGGCAGGCCATAAAAGACCTACAACGCTGACACATACTGTCTTCACAAGAGACGCGGGTTATATAATAAACGAGCAGGCTTCTTCCGCGGAACTTCTCAACAAAATGTAGTCACCAGGCCCACGTCTTGAGTATGCCCATCTCCAGGGATGCCGCCAGTGTAGGTGGAACAAGTGAAAACTGCTTTCGGTGAATTACAAGCACACATTGCACGACATTTGTGTGGAAACCCAAAAGTGCCCCCAGCTCTTTGAAAAAACAAAGGCTTCCTATCAGTTGACTCCGGGCCAGTTGCTACGAGCGAAGCCACGGACTGACCGAGTCCATACCAGCCAGCTGGACGTGCTGAAGCCCCAGCGGCCGGCCAGACACAGACACGCCTTCGATCGGCTAATATGTTTCGCAACCACTGATCAAACCGCTTTAGCACCACCGTGAAATTCTCAGAACCATGTAGGATTTAGCGCATTTTAACGCAGGCTGCTTCAATGGTCTCGCGCGGAAGTGCAACAGCGACCTCGGTCGTGTGAAATTGTGGGTTCCGACAGGCGTATTTCTTTGCATGCCTTTGGTAGGCCTGAGCTCCCAATGCTGACTTCAGCCCCTTTCTGAGTCCCAGTGCGCATTAGCTAGGCAGGGAAAGCTGGGCCAATGAAATGCAGCAGTGTCTCTGAGCTGGTGGTACACTAGGTACTTAAACACATGACTGTCAATATCATCACCATATATCAGTATCAGTATCACTTCGACTTCGAATAGAAAGCAATTCGTCAACGTAAAAACCATTTTGGAAACGGCCAAATAGCTTCTATATACTAGTTTTAACATCAAGGCGCAAATCAGAGGCAAAAATCCGGGCAAAATCGGGATTTGGGGTTATATTAGGTCAACTTTATTTGTACAGCCACGGACGAGCTTAGAAAATGACGTCACTTTGGGTGCTAGTCAGTGTGGTATTATTAAGAAGAAAAAAAACTGACGGAGGGGACAACGGACAACCATATTGGGAAAAGGCGGGCCAATATGCACAAACTATAACTAGTAATCCTGCGCAAGCTATGGATATATGGATATAACTAGTAATCCTGCGCAAGCTACGGATATATGGACATAACTAGTAACCCTGCGCAAGCTATGCATCCGCTTTTCGGCAGTTTTTAATTATTTCTATGATATTTTGGCAGCCAAATCTGGCACGACGTCACACAAGTCATGCAATGCAGGCGAATATGCCGTCTAGAAATCGTTGCGCGGTCCCGACAATGTCCAACTCTCAGGTGACCCAGCGACAGGCCGTTCAGCAGACAATGTCCAACTCTCAGGTGACCCAGCGACAGGCCGTTCAGCAGACAATGTCCAACTCTCGGTGACCCGCGCAGGCGTTCAGCAACAATGTTCCAACATCCAGGTGACCAGCAACAGGCCGTTCAACGCAGTGTTCACTCTCAGTTGACCCAGCACAGCCGTTCAAGCAGACAATGTCCAACTACTCGGTGAACCCAGCAACAGGCCGTTCAAGACACAGTGTTCAACTCTCAGGTGACCCAGCGACAGGCCGTTCAGCAGACAATGTCCAACTCTCGGGTGACCCAGCGACAGGCCGTTCAGCAGACAATGTCCAACTCTCGGGTGACCCAGCGACAGGCCGTTCAGCAGACAATGTCCAACTCTCGGGTGACCCAGCGACAGGCCGTTCAGCAGACAATGTCCAACTCTCGGGTGACCCAGCGACAGGCCGTTCAGCAGACAATGTCCAACTCTCGGGTGACCCAGCGACAGGCCGTTCAGCAGACAATGTCCAACTCTCGGGTGACCCAGCGACAGGCCGTTCAGCAGACAATGTCCAACTCTCGGGTGACCCAGCGACAGGCCGTTCAGCAGACAATGTCCAACTCTCAGGTGACCCAGCGACAGGCCGTTCAGCAGACAATGTCCAACTCTCGGGTGACCCAGCGACAGGCCGTTCAGCAGACAATGTCCAACTCTCAGGTGACCCAGCGACAGGCCGTTCAGCAGACAATGTCCGACTCTCGGGTGACCCAGCGACAGGCCGTTCAGCAGACAATGTTAAACTCTCAGGTGACCCAGCGACTGGCCGTTCAGCAGACAATGTCCCGTTTTCCTAAGCCAGTCTAAAAAGAAAGCGTTTAGCTCGAACAGAGCTAGGTGAGACCATTAAAACTAGATGAGCGCAGGGCACAGTTTTTGTAATCATTCTCCACAGAATAGTTTCGAACGGCTTCGGTAAGAAATCTCCTTGATCATTCGGCTTATATGCCTGCCCGTAATTTATACCCTTTATGAATTTGAAGTTGTTATGCTTCTAATAATACACATGCAGGAGATTACGAGGTACGGACTGAGCTAGGTTATCAGCAACCAATGTCTACAAGGTTAAACACAAGTTTTTTAGTTTTGGCAACACAACAAATGCTTGCTTGATATCTGCTTGATCATGGCCCTTCATTCATACCCGACCCTGCGAGCGGGGAGAGGGATAGCTCTAAAACTGCTACGTCTCCTGGTGGCAGAGACGATCCCATTGTTGCAACAGCTGGGCTCCTAATATATCAGTTTGGACCCTTGCGCAGAGTACCCTGGCACATTCAACTGTATTTAAGAGCCTGTGAGACCTTTTATTTTGATACAGTCTGTATGGGGCCTTCTGTGCTCTAGGATGCCTTCTGAGATTGTATGACTTCCACGAGTATCTTTTGAAATCCTTGATCTATTTGATCTTTGCAGAAGCTCTTTTGAAATCGGGACCATTTATTTTATGATGTTTCTCCTACTTACATTTTGGCAACACACACAGGCACAAGCAGACTCAAACTGGTTGAACACAGTAAGCCTCGTCATAACAAATAAACTACCGTCTCTACTGCATGCAAGCTTCCTATGAGCTCCACATCAGAATTTTCAAATTCACTGCAGAATACATTCGATTCATTGATGCAAAAGGTCGCGAAGACTTCACGCTCTGCAACGTTGTTGACAAAGGACCAGAAGACAGTTTTTACAACGCGGTACTCCGGACTTTTTTGCAAAACTTTCCAAGATGAAAACGATAACCCTGCACCAGTGAGTGGTGTGGAGCAGGTGAGTGGAGCAGCACAAGCTCTTTCTCCCTCTCTTTCCGTCTCTCTGTCTCTCTCTTGCGAGAGCGCCTCGGACGCTCGAGAATCGGACATCATCATCACACTGATCCTACTGGTTTCGCTTGTGTTCGGCTGCCGATACAGGATACGTGCTAAACTCTGACTTGGGCTTATCTGAGCGGAACAGCATCTTCTCCAGGTTCATGAAGGGCGCTTCGAAAGCCAGGGAGAACGGCAGAGCAAATGCAAACGTCGTGATGATGTGGCCCAGGAGCCTGTACACCAGCCTTACCACATCGACGTACATCGTGCCTTTCATCGAGACGTCCGCCACAAACAGCACGTTGATGTGGATCAAGTAGCCGGCGTAGGTGAGGCGGCTGAGCGGAATAAAGCCCGGGTAGGACAGAAGCATGTTGACGAACCCGCCGTAGCCGGTGACGCAGGCGAAGATGACCCAGGAGACGGCGAGGCCCCAGGCGAACCGGTGCAGACCTCCGTAGGTCACGGCCACCGCCTTGCTCGGCTGCGGGTCCCAGGGCATCTGATAGCCGGTCATGCCGTACACGACGGAGATGCCGATGGCGAAGGCGACAATCCAGCCGAGGAGCCACTGCCACCACCGCAGCGTCACCTGTCTGCCGCGCAGCCGGTGCAGCAGGATAGCCCAGCCCGATGCCCAGCAGATACACCGTGCAACGCATCCAGGGATAGCCATAATTGTTCATTAGGTCTTCGTCACTGGGACCCGGCCTGAGCGTGAAAAATGTGGGGTTCAGGTCTTTGACGCTCCAGATTGTCACTCGAAGCGCCAGGAAGCCAACAATGAGAGCGCATAGCCAAATGATGCCGAGCAGCGGTCGCCACACCAGCGGAAGCAGGACCAGAGGAGAGAACACAAACATCTGCATGTCAGTGGCCAGGTACCAAGACTGTAGGACGCATGTTTCCTCAAAATCAATGAAGTTCTGAATGTAGAGAAGGTTTTTCCACCAGTTGTGAATGCAATAAGATTGCTGAGGTGCGGTGGAAGACTGCCATATAGGTCCATCCCCTAGATAGACAAAAATAGTGGCAGTAAATCCAATTACCATGGCGTAAGGTACAGTTAGTCTTATATAACGATGTATATAGAAGAGCGGCAAGTTGAATTTCTTGTTCTTCTCGTAAGCGCCACAGAAGCCATATGCCAGCAACGTCCCGGACAAGAGATAAAACGTGTCCACGCTTGGCATGGCATTTGCGATCGCCTGAAACCAAGGTCCTTTAAACCAATCGACGACAACTAGGAGGTTCTGTGTGTGGGTCGCGATCCCGCCGGCAGCGTGTCCCAGAACTACCCACGTCATGGACAGGAAGCGAATGCCGTGCAAACAGGAGAGCGTGCCCGCGCCGGTCGTCGTGTTCATCAGCTTCTCTGTGTTGGTGTACACGGAGAAGGCGACCAGCGCTTGCTGCGTGGTGCCCAGAGCAGACGGCTTCCGCTGCAGCAGCGGCGCCGGCTTGTCGCCGTCGACGAGCAGCATCTGCGGCAGCCGGGGGTTGCAGCTGTCGGTCAGCGGGGTCATGCGCAGCTGACGCGCCGCGCGCCGCGCGCTCCGCCGGTGGTGCACGTCCACCGCCGTGCCGACCACCATCAGCACACCGACCAGCGCCATGATGGTGACGACGACCACGTCTGCGGCTTGCAGCTGCACCGAGTCCTCGGCCGTCTTGGAGCCGTGCTCGACCACAGTCACGTTGGGTCCCAGCAGCGTCTGCAGAGCCAGACGTGTGTCCTCGGCCGAGCAGCTGGACGGCACGCATATGCCGATGGCGCCGCTGGCGACGCCCAGCGCGGGCAGGAGCTGCCGGCGCGCCCAGACCTCGCTGCCGTCCTCCGCCGAGGCGGAGCTGCTGCGAGGTTGCGGCTGATGCGACGGGCGCCACCGACACGGGCACGTACCGGCCGACAAAGTGGAGCCCCGCCTCGGGTAGGTACGGGTAGCGTGCCGGGTCCAGGTGCACGTCGATGGCCAGGCACTCGTCGAAATTGCCGAATACGTTGACGTTCCCCACCAGGAACCCGTCCGGTAGCTTGCCGGTGGCGTCGAACACTGCAACACGGGACTTGGTGAGAACTGGCTCGTGCTACGGGTACTTGTTCTTTGGTCACCTATTTTGGGTGCAGTAAGCCAGCGATTTTTGCCCGTGGCTTGGGCTAACAGGGTGTCTTTGAAAGGTCTTGCTTACTTAAACCACTTCTCAACTTATTACATTTCATCTAGGTTATTATTGGCTGGATATAAATGGTTTACCTATTGTATGCTGAATGGAATTTCAAAAAAGAATTTATGTCAGCTGGTATTGTTGTGAAGAGTGATCACTTCACGACAGAGACATAAATTCCAAAGCTGGCGGAACGGAAAACCTTATATCCAACGGACAATAAAGGCTCATGGCCAAGCTTAATTAGGGTACCAATTATGTGACAGGAGAATCCACTAGTTGTTGATGAGAGCCGGCTATCAGCAAGACCGATATCACGTGCTGTCCGGCTCCAACGCACGCGCATTTCATTTCATTATGTGTTTGTTTTCACTTCCCCGTGTGCGCTATTTTGTGGCGACGAGGCGTTCTGGGAGTAAGTAGCATTAGCATTGAACGAAATCTCATTTGCCGCCCTGGTTGTCCCGAAATCATATCCCGGGCTGTCCGCACACGGATACGTACTTCGCAAAGTAGTCATTTCCTAGTTTTAATGGTCACAAAATTTAGACATCGCTGTTGTATGGAAAGGCAGGTCCGCCAGCATTACCGCACGGTTTATTATGTTGCGGGGCGATGCTAGGGGAACCTGAATAGCATACTCATCACGCGCCAGCGGCTACCCGTCAATCCTGTCTCCGTCACTCACTGGCGAAGGCCCACAGGGAACTGGTGAGCTCGCTTCTGTAGATGGCCGTGTGGTTGCGGCAGAGCGTGTCGTCGGCGAGCAGGGTGGGCATGGCCAGACGCGACACGACGGACCGTCCGACCGCCGTCGAGCGGCAGGCGCTCCAGCTGCTGGGACAGCAGGTCCAGCGCGTCGGGCGAGAAGCCGGACGGCGGCAGGCCGTGCAGCGGCAGCAGGTAGCCGAGCAGCTGGCGCCCGGTGCGCGCGCCGTCCGGCGTCGCCGGCGCCGCCAGCAGCAGCGTCAGCAGCGCGGTCAGCATCGCCGGCTGGGAGGTCACCGGATCACGGGAGTCACGGCAGAGGTCACCAGCGAGCGGCCGCCACTAGCCTGCGCCGTCCGCCGTCCGCCGTCTGCCGCTGCGGCAGAGTGACGCGGTATCGATCGTCGGCCTTTAGCCGGCGCAGATACCGAGCAGCCATTGAACTTTACTACCTGGCCCTGGCTGTGTTCTTTACCGGGAAGAACTAATGCTTTCACCCGTTCTCCTATGTTCCACTGTCTTGAGTTTTGGCTGTGGAGGCACGGGTATTGTGTTATGTTGTCCAACACTGAAAGCTCATGCGCCCATTGGACCTTATTCCGAATTAGCGTAAAGCACGACCAAATTGGACCAGGAAAACCTTGTATAGCGAACACACGCTGGAAGACGTGCGAACTTCCCAGTGCGATTTATTACGGGGGCTAGAGAGCGCCTTCAGGTAAAGCGTAACATCACTTTTGAAATATTCTAACACTCCGCTGCAAACACAGCGAAGCACACTTTTGGCGTGCCATGAGCAGCACGAGATCAGGGTGTCTTCGTTAGATCTTCAATGCATTCATGTAAGTTGTTTAAAACCGTTGATACCATGGCACTATCGCCCATCAAATGTCGCCGAAAAAAACGGTCTTACTGCAAAACAGGCACTTACGGCTGCGCTAATGACGTCATTGGGACCTAATCTAAATTACCAAGTGGACCTAACTTTGGTAAGATAGCTCTGGTGCTTTGTGACTCGCTGTTGGAAACTCACAAGAAATAATCGAAATCGCTCCCAAGGATTTGGATAGATGCAGATGGTGAGTTTTCAGTTCGTGATTTAAACGTTTTCTAGCTTCACCTGACATGGGCTGCAGAAGCCAGAGCGTTTTGTTCAGTGAGCATGGCGACTTCTTTACCTTTGTATCGGAATCGCATGATAGCAGTGATAGGATGCAGTGATGGGATGAAGTGCCCAATGCCAACGATAATTCGACGTTCAAAACAATCCAATCCGGGAGAAGCCTGGCGAGCGCCGCTTTGGTGTGTTTGATCGGACGTATATGATTTGGCCCACTGGTCATCAGCAGTGTACCAAAGCCTTGCCGCAGTGCGCGCGGCGAATTCGGTGGGCGGTTTGAAGGGAAGAACGCCGATTGGGCTGCTGGTTGCTGCCTTGCTTAAAGCGAAAAACCTATGGGCCAAAAACATAGTCGAATTCATGGGCGTAGGAACAGGGGGGCCAGAGGGCCATGGTTCCCCCACTTTTCAAGGTGGGAGGCGACCAGCAATGTTAACTGCCCCCCCCCCCCCTTCAGATTAAGGTTGTGTTTAGCTTGCTTTTGCACTACATACCGGCTTACCCACTTCACCAGTCATCTTCCACAAGATGCGTCATTTTTATTTGTTTTGTCATTGGTCATCACTTAGTATCACAGCCACAGGGCCAACGCCGCGCGGCAAATGGAGACTGCAACGCCGGGAGTCCATGGTGTTGTTGCTATGACGCGAGCGCGCATGTTTAAAACCATATTACGTAGCTTTTTTCAGAAATAAATTCTGACTGCATCTTGAACATTTTAAGACGAACATATATGAGCCATGTTAATGCAAATTTGGGACCTCATTTTATCTACAACCCACGTTCATTGTGTCCGCCAATATCTCTCGAGAACACAGAAAAACATGGAACTGGAGTCTATGTGATAATTATTGGAACACCTTTGGGAATCACGGATGTTGTTGTGGCAATGAGGGTTCCTGCGCTGATCCGGGGCCAACTGGTGGGTCAGAAGGCCTCCCGTGTCAGGGAAGGGGGCGATGTGATAACACATCCTCTTAATGGCCTCCGAATCGATCAGGAGATGCGCTGCTTGTCGCCAGGATGACAGTCCAGAAGACACTTCACGATGGGGCGGAATGACCCTTCAGCCTTTGACCAAGGAAGGTAACGTGCCCTCGATGGTCTGCTCAACTTACCCGGAAGGAAATAAGAGATTTCATTATTGCTGAGTAAAGTGGGGGTCTCATTATTGTTGAATAGAGTGGGTCGAAATGAGTAAAAAAACAAACGAACAAGGCCATCCCACGTTTCCCTAAGAACGTTAATTTTGTGTGCAGAACGGATCAGTGAAACAATTACATGCTTAAAGGTAACTGTTTCAAAAACATCATCATTTTCGCCCGCCGGCGGGCCACGGCTAAAAATAAGCCACTGAGCTAACGCTCCGCGGACTGTGGAATCTGCAAGCCTGGTGTCGAGGTTTTTGTTGCTGGAACACCTTTAGACAGGCATGGGTTGGCCATGTTAATACACATTGTTGACCACTCCATCTCCAATCAAATTCAATGTTCAAATTTCGATCAGATACATCGATTTACAATGAACATTTGTGATGTCCTTAACGTTTGTAGACTCAGATAAACCATTCCGAGAAGGCTGTTGAACTCTACCGAAGAGTCAACTAAACCATGGCAAATAAAGGGCACCGGAAATTTAATCCATGCGGTCTTTCAGCGCCTGATTTATGGAGCAGACCTTAAAACACAGACAGAATTTATATCACAGTAGCTTCTGATTTCTGTTCCGGTTGCAAAGTAAAAACATCGATAAAACGAAGAAAACCGTATCCCTTGTTAACAAGTAAGCGATATCCGAGGACCTTTTTAGAAAGGAAGGGGGGGGGGGGGCACCACAAGAGCGGCTTTTGTCAACCCTGTGTTCCCCTTTGGCGAGACTCTGTATACGCCCCTGCCTATACACAAAAACAGATCAAGTCGTCTACGTTGGATGATGAGCAATTAAATGTCCGTTGGGCCAATTCATGCCTAAGGCACGCGGCTTCCCGGAGGCTTTTTCCTGCAGTGGCGTGGTGTAAGGGACAATAATGAGGGAAAAGATACTGCTGCAAATGTACCACATATGTTTTACACAACAATTAGTAGTAATGCTGATCCATAAATATGCAACAAAGCGGCCATACAATCAGTTCGCAGTCAGTCATGCGGGAGACAGCCGGGCCAGGACAGTGGTCGCCGACGGCGGATGGGAGCAGGGCCCAGATAAGAAAGATATGGCAGAAGTGCACTCGTTCTGTGGTTTGGTTTTCAAAGGCGAATCTCCAGTTTGATGGCTTTTGTCACATTGCTGTCGGCGAAGCTTTCACATTTGTTTCCGCCTAAAGTGCTGCGACAAGCCTTATTCTTGAAAGGCAGCCAGCGCGATGAAGGCGCATGGAAAATCTGTCGCACTGTGAGCATCGACTCACCGTCAAAGTTCTCACCGGTCTACGTCGAGGCCGTAGTTCTGCATCTACCCTGTGTATGGAGACGCCTCCTCAATGACCCAAAATGTCTACCCTCTCGTGGAATATCGCCTTCGCAGGAAAGACAATGTTGCAGAGTTGAAATGGACAAATAACCTTGGGAAGCTGGATAGCCTTATTTCTGAATGACATAGATGAGTCGAATAGACAAGACTGTGCATCAGCGAGAAACAGCTCTGGATGCATATCTAGCGCAGCAGCATGGCATTCGAATAAAGAGCGATAACATCCTCCATCCCCACCATCCCCCCTCTCCCCCCGGTCATCGGGCTTGCCTTCCAAAAAGTTCCTGAAGAACACCCTCAGAACACCCCCGGCTTTTTGAAGCGTTCTTACACCTATATGGTCGAATTAGACAAATTACTGGGTTCTTTTGGTCTTGGATGGCGCAGATCCACTGCTGGCGTCTCGCAGAGTGATAACGCTCGAAGCAGTTTGGTCTCCTTGAAGTGAAAAATGGGGTTTTAAAATGTTTCGTACTGTAGATTGGCGTTACTCCTACTGCAGCTATTTTCTGCTACACTAGTGCCATTTCCGACAGTCGGAACTCCTGATGCACCACATGACACCTGGTGTTCCACTTCTATTGCGACTGCATGAACCTAGGAATCTAATACCCGGTCATTTATTTACGTCCTACCCCAATCTACTATTTCTATGCAACCTTTAAAAGTCGAAGATGAACAGAGCCGTCTGAGCGTTTCCCCATCTTTGCCACCATCCACCGGACACGATATACATGTTATATGTTTACAAGTCCGATGTATACATGGTTGGACGTTGAACTGGGTGCGCGGCGTCTGGCCGCTCTGCGGTACCCACCCTCCATGGGGGCGAGCACGCCCCTTATCCGCACAGCTCCCGCAAGGCCCCACCCTCCATGAGTTGAGCAGGCGTCTTGCCTTCACAGCTCCTGCATGGTCCTACCCTCCATGGGCCTCTTTCCGCCCCTCCCTCCCTATGTCACCTCTCCCCCCTCTCTCTCTCTCTGACCCCAGACGGGGGACCTGGGGCATCCAAAGGATGAAACAGGCAGCCCAATTTGATAACATTTTTAGCTAAAAGATACGCTTAAAGCTGCGATCATAGCTGTTACTCTTCAAGCGTGGCAGTGGCCAAAAGTCGACTCGCCGCTCACCCGTTAAAGGAGCCCAACGAATTCGCCGCGCCCGCCACGGCAAGACTTTGGTACACTGCTGATGGTCATGCTCTCAAGCGATTCCCTGACAGAAGCAAAATAGTCGTGGCGTAATTATAAAATAATAAGAAGTAATCGAAGCGTGGCTTAAAGAGCACATGCTTTTGTCGTCATCACAAGTCAGATGAAGCCAGAAGATAGACGCAGCTACCAACTAGAAGGTGGCATGTGCATTTTTAACAATTTTTGACATGTACTGTAATGAATTCTGAGCCATTCTTAACTTCGACACCCCGTGCATATGCATCGGAACTATCTTACCGAATTTAACAATTCGACATTGTTAAGAGCCTGTGTTCTCG